GGTAAAGTTAAAGGTTGAAGAAAGCAAAGACCATGTGGTTTGATAATTGAGATGACTGTTTGCTTCTGATTCCTAAATTTCAACATCTCCATATGCTCTGTATCCTTTCTTTCTTTCTTTTTATGATCTTCTTTTGGTGATGTTGCATCACTCTTAAGAAAGTTATATCATAAATTAGCAAAGCCAAAGCTGATAGGTTGCTACCGAGGAAGATACTGTAGTGAATGAATCAAACAATTTGAAGCATTAAGCCCTGGATAGGGTAAAGAAACAGTATTAGAGACAATAAAGTTCTCAATAATGCAGCCTGCTTGCAGATATAACAAATAGAAGAAGAGATCTCAAGATCTTGAGATCTTTGCAAGCTGGATATCAATATTGAGAACAATTATGCTGTGCAGGTACATATTGTTGTTTACTTTGGCAACTGCATGACTTTTGCTTTATAGCTAATCTTTCCGAGTTCAAGAAAGGTATGTGCCTCTTTGACATGACTATACAGCAGAGAAGTCCATTATTGATATGAGGTGATTGTTAGTTGGGAAAGCTTTTGAAGTGCCTAACCAACAAATGTCAATATTCAGAGAAAAGTTATATAATTTCAGGTGCTTTCTGAAAAGTGGCAGATGTCTACAAGAAACGAAAACACACATGTGTAAATGTAATGTAACGCTAGCAGCGAATAACAAACCACCATTATAAAAAATTAGATTCTAGGCTTGATTGGTTGTTGCTGTATATGCTATACAAAGCAATATTTATGTTTAAAGCTCTAAATCATACCAATCATGCTTTATAAATTTTGTCTTTACTTTATTTGTTCATAGCCAAAATATTTCCTTTTTTTATTTTTTTGACTGTACAAAACATTATTTTTAAATACTACATAAATTTATGCTTTCTAAATTTTATAATTCTACAGCCAAAATTTTAAAGAAATAAAAAATCTACAGCTACAGCAAAAAAACCTACAACTACATTTCTACAGTAAAAACATAAAGCTACCACTGTTATCCATCAAACCCTCTATTAACAGAGAGAGACACAAGATTAATGACCGGTTCTATCTGAACTCGTGCTAGCCGGCTTAACAATTGAAATCTCATTTAGGCCCATAAGAAGCCCAACTAAATTGTCCTGATAGAAACGAGTTAGTTATAAGCAAGTAACAACACAACAAAACCATTAACAATTTATCTCTTTGTTTGGGCTAAAAGATAGAAAGATGGAGAGTATACAGGTAACAAAGCCTTCTCCTTATCAGCACACAACTATTTCATAGAAACGGCGATAGTTTTTAAATGTGGAGTAAACCCAATAGGCTTGATTGTCACGACAAGAAGCCCAATTTTTAGTCGATCCCTGCATGCATATGCATATTGACAAATATGTTCGCACGACTAAAAAAAAAGCGTAGACTATCATCACGTACGTCCTCCTTTAAAAAAGCGCATTTTTTTTTCTTGATCATTATCAATCTTTGACTAAAGAGAATAGACACATGATACATGTTATGCTGATTCCAGGATCTACATAATAAAATTTATAGCGGTCAATAATATATGTGCATTAATTAGTTTATCGGTTTTGATAGCAAATGTTGGCCAATAAAAACGAAATTGCGCTGCTTAAAAAAGGACAATCTTGTAAAGGGATAAAAACCAAACTGCATTATACACAACATTAATGTGTTGTACACACCATTAATGTATATACAACATATAAGTTTCACGTTTTAGTTAAAGAACATATAAGTTTTTTTTTTTGTAACTGGATATAAAATTAAACATTTGAGAGCATATAAGTTTCACGTGTCAAAGTAAAGTACAATTCCATCACGGATTGGTTTTATCAAATTCCGGTCCGTGTTTCTAGTAATAAGTTCTCACGTGTATGCGTAAGGCCAATAGGTCATCTTTGCATGATGATCAATTAATGATTATGGCAATCAAAGCATCAATTTGCATGGATCCATTCGAAACAAATATCTTCAAATTTTGTCTTACGCTAGTAAATAGAAAATAACCTTTTCTATGCTTTGTCTCTACGAATATTTGCTTAAATAACAAAAATCACATCCATGTGAAAAGTCTGGGCTTCGGTCCAGACAATTTACCTGATAGTTCGATAACAGGTGATCCGGCTATTCCTAGTATTAGTCGGAATTCAAACTCGGACGTACAGTAGTGGCTCAAATTAAAAATTTCATGGATCTCATGAATCTCATGGCCCGTTCAACCCGAACACGCTCATAACTTATAGTATCCGTTGAATCGTTGAACCAACGAAAGAGAAGTCAACACTGAGCACTTCGGTGTATTCCTACCGGGGCCAACCAGATCAACCAATAGGGTTTATAAAAAAAAAAAAAAAAAACATTTGCTTAAATATCATCAAATAAAAAAAAAACTCTAGAATGTGTGAATGAGGTTTACGAAATACTCAAATACGCACCCATTCTTTTCAATTAACCGTATACAATTCCCTACTTTATAGTGGACTTCCATCCTCGCCGTAGTGTATTTCACTATTTTTGTTACATGCATATCTCACGAATATGCCACATATAAAAGTAATTTTTATATATTGGTATAAAAGTAATTCTAATTTTTCTATCTTTGTATATGTACCATAACATCATTTTTCTAAAGTTTCCTGACATCTTAGACGAAAATACTAATATATACCATATTTTTTCGGCGACCGTTTATTGAAACGTCAATGTATTTATGGTCAGGCGATCATTAATTAGTAATAAATTTGGATTAATGGTCATGTTATCAGTCACCACAACCATCATGAACTACGTATAAACAAAGATATTATTCATTTGTGCAAACCCTAGCATGTGCAGCACTAAAGGATTTCTATCCATAGATTTTGTTTCTTATGATCTTGACGATATGGATCGCGATGATTCAAATTGAAAACGAATTGTGCGTTCTATTTATGAATAAATACAAAAAGTCTAATAGAAAATGTACGTATGGCACACATTGCAATGTTTTTAAACATTATCTACGGAAGATTTTGACGGACTAGACACCGAAATCATTAATGAAATTTGAACCCATTGTAGGATGGACTATATATTGGGTGCAGACAAGGATTCACCGATAGCCTTAGCCATTTGTAACTTCGACGGAACCGGCTCAAATCCATTGATATTAGATTAAATTTCAATTAAATTGACCATGCAGGGCTCACATATAAGTTCTCAAGACTAAAACATTCAAACGTTTTTCACCTCTTTCTTTTCATACTTTATATTCTGCCGAGGAGGACTTTTGGGTTTTGGGGAGAGTACTTGCTGACTTTAGCATTTGTCTATAATAATAGGGCTTTGTCAATTTTGAGATTTATTTCTATATACTATATAATATCACCCGTACATATTTCCTCGACCAAGGATGAATCACTTTCGCATCATCATGATTCATAACTTAAGTTAATAATAAATGTTACCCTTTAATATATCATTTCTTACCTAAACCACGATGACAAGGAGTGATTAGTATAAGCAAGAATAATGTATCTTATACAAACGCATATAATATAATAAACTTATAAAAGAAATTAAAACTTTGGAAATGGTTGCGGTGATATCAAACTTAAGTAACCACGAAAAGTATAAATGATGATGTTAGCCAATATTTCCTTTTAGAGACACTCATCATATACCGTATGAGATGTTATATGATCAATATTTAATAGATTTTATGATTAAAACAGTGAATAAGATTCAAACTGCATGATTCTAATTCTATATTTTAAAAAGAAAGTCAAAGAGAAATATAAAATCATGATTCACAATCAGTAAGCTTCCGGGAATGTTCCTAAAGTCTCCTCCGATGGGAGCATTGATCACTAATTAAATCGTTTAGTAACAAGTAAAGTTTTTAATGCTATATTATCATCGCTCAAGCGTGGTTGTAGTTAAAGGTAGATTCAGTTGTGGTTGTAAATTTGTAATCAAAGGATATTTCTTTTTATATATAATAGATACGTAGGGTGCTAAGAAAATAAACAAACCTACCAATATGTCATAGAGCGTTTGTAACTGTAAATCGGGTGGGGAGGAATAACAAAATTCTACTATTATTTTCTAATATAAAAAAATCAAGAAAACAACCAATAAGGCAGAGAGCATGAGTATCTTTAAATTGGGATTAAAAAAAAAAAATTGGCCCCATTCCATAAATGTATTTCTCTATTTAACAAAATAAATATTTTTATATTAAAAATGGTATATGCTGTTTTTCAAAGTACTTTACCATTATTAATATTGATCATTTGTAACTATATATTGGAAACCAAAAATAATCTACAAAGATATGTTAACACAAAAATTATAACATTATAATACAAAATTCTAGGAAATTAAATTCTCCGTTATTACCCTTTTTGGGATGTTCTGCCATTTTCTTTTCTTTGTTGATTTTTCCAGGATTCATAAAGTTTATAACCCAGAGTTATATATACTTAAATTTACGTCTCATTTTTGGATTGTAGAAGTTTCAAGTCAAAAAATCTTTTGGAAGTTCACGTCAGGTAAGTTATGTTTGTATTCTGGACCGTAAACATTAGATATATATATGTAATGTCAGTCAAACATGAATATGATAGTGAATGTATTTAATATATGTGATGTTTGCAAAATAATTTTAACATAGTGTTAATTAATAGATTTTCACAGATCTCAATTGCTCGTGTATTAATATATATTTAGTTCTAAGATAGAAGATTAGTTTGATAAACATTTCTAAAGATTGTGGACTTTTTCTGGTTCTTTTGTCAAATTCTGGTTTATGATATATAATAACACTCCTTCACACACACAAAAAGATAAGAACAAAAGAAGCACCCTTTCACAAGATGAAAGGGTTTCAGTCCAATCATGATTACTAAAAATGGTTTAAATCTCTAGCATCCAAGTTCTATTTTTTACTTTTGTTGAGAGACTAGTCATGTGAGCATAATCCTAGACTAGGGTTCCGAGAGTTGGGTTATTTTGTAAATGACACGTTTCCTTTAGCAAATAATAAATTCACATTGTCATTAACCAAGAGGACAAAACCATCACGGAACAAGAAGCTCCTGATTAAGGCGTGGATCAGACAAGCCTTGTTGATGCTTAGGCATGTGGGCAAGTACCAGCACTTGTCTCTATCATCATCACCATTTTCTTTCTCCGATACAATAATTTATTAATTAATCCTAAAAATTCAACGAAATTCCATTGAAAATCTCATATCTATCTATAAAAACCATTCTTTGTATACAGTCCTTTAATCCTTTTTTCTTAGTTCATCATCATCTACAGGCATAAAAGTTCCTCTGGACATCATCGGTATATATATTTCGTTCTTTTTGGTGTATTTATTACTTTTAAGGTTTTTTTAAATGATCCTCTTCAAATTCAACTAGTTATTTATCCATGCCTTTATGCTTTACTTCTTTAATTAATTATTTTTACGATGTTATGATTACTAATTTTTTCAGATATGGAAGTCAATTGTACGGAAACACCGTTGCTTTCGTCAAATGATGATCATGAGGATGATAACTACAAACCAGAGTCAACCGGTTTGGTTTCTACAATGAAATCAAACTTTTTCACGGATTTGCCTCAAAAACTTCGATCCAAAACCGATCCTGAAAACCCTTTTCACCTTGATGTATCCAAAGCTGTAGGTCTTAAAAAAGGTAATATATATTATATACACACATCAAAATTTCTTGCTTTATAATTTATATCATAGTGTCATACGATTTGTTAAGTTATTTTAATCTTTAAAGATGAAAGGGAGTACTACGAACAACAATTGGCAACACTAAAATCCTTTGAGGAAGTAGAAAGTTTCTTAGCTCGATCAGATGAGTATGTCATCGATGAAAAGAGTGAAGAAGAAGATCGAGCTGAGAGAGCTGCACAAGAGATAGCCATGCAAATTTCCAATTGGGCTAATATCTTCTTACTTGCTCTCAAGGTGTGTCTTTCGATTAAAATATTTTTATACATTGATTTGAGTCCTATAAGTCTATATATTCATCAAAATGTTATATAATGCATAGATATATGCAACGATAAAGAGTGGATCGATAGCCATCGCAGCATCTACACTTGACTCTTTGCTTGATCTAATGGCGGGAGGAATACTTTGGTTCACACATTTGTCAATGAAGAACATAAATATCTACAAATATCCTATTGGAAAGCTTAGGGTGCAACCTGTTGGAATCATCATCTTCGCCGCAGTAATGGCCACTCTTGGTATATATATTTTTTTATCATCTTCCAAAATTTTATACAACTAAAATAATTAAGTTTTTTAATGAAAATTAACCATATACATTTGTGTAGGGTTCCAAGTGCTGCTTGTGGCAGCTGAACAGTTGATTACAAATGAACCTTCAGAGAAAATGAGTCATGACCAATTGGTTTGGTTATATTCAATCATGCTAACCGCAACTGCTATAAAGCTCGTCTTATGGATCTACTGCAAAAGCTCAAGGAATCATATCGTTCGCGCATATGCAAAGGTATATAGATATGATCTCATTCTCACGCATACATTTTCTTATAATTTCATGTAACAATGGGGGATTAATTGATAAGTTTTGATATAGGATCATCACTTTGATGTGGTGACAAACGTTCTTGGATTGGTTGCGGCTGTTCTTGGGAATGCCTTCTATTGGTGGATAGATCCGTCTGGTGCTATTCTCTTAGCCATCTACACTATTGTCAATTGGTCCGGGACCGTTATGGAAAATGCAGGTAATTTTTTTTTTTTTTCAATGTTGTTGTATTATTCAATCTAACAACATCAACTGAAATTTTTACTATGTTTTTTTGTTTCATTGTATATATTTAGTTTCATTGATTGGACAGTCAGCTCCTCCGGAAGTACTACAGAAATTGACATATCTAGTATTGCGACAAGGAGCCAATAACATCAAACGTGTAGATACTGTCCGTGCCTATACCTTTGGTGTTCTTTACTTTGTCGAGGTCTGTATACATATCTTAATTTCGCAATCATATAGTTAAAGACGTATATAGTAGAACTAACTAATTACAAAAAAGTAGTTATAAGATTTGTTTGACTTATATTGTTTATGTGTGTGTACATGTTGGCAGGTGGATATAGAACTCCCAGAAGATTTGCCATTGAAAGAAGCTCATGCGATTGGTGAGTCATTGCAAATAAAGCTCGAAGAACTTCCGGAAGTGGAAAGAGCGTTTGTTCATCTGGATTTCGAGTGCCATCACAAGCCTGAACACTCCGTTCTCTCTACAATTCCAAACGATCTATAAGGGATTATATGCATATATATGTGTTTCTGTTTGTTTTTTTTGCTTGTGTTCTCTTCTTGTACTATCTGACATTTCTTTCTTGCTATTGAAATTTATTTTAATAAACATTTTACGTTTTTTTTCCTTCAACTCCTAAAACATTTTATATCGAAAATGATAATTTATTTAGTTAGGACATATGCAAAACATTTAGTCAAAAAAAAAGAAACATGCAAATATATGTTTTTTGTTATATTTTTTCCATACAAAATTTCACATATTACATTTAAAACATTGTCTTCTTATGTCAGATTGTTTTAAACGTTAAAAATTGCGTTTGAGATTTCGTTTATCACATTTTTTTAATTCAAGAATTTTTTTTTTTGAAAATTCTTCCGTTTACATCGGATTTTGCATTCTCAATTCATATATTATTTTTGTAAAATACTAAAGAGACTTATTTTCTTATAAAAATGAAAAAGAAGCATATATTATAACATGTAAATCATTTCACAATTGAATCGAATCCAATGTGGCATTCCTTGCTTTTCATTTGTAGTGTGAGCAGCTGTACCGACAAATTAATAATACCCAATAGATCATCATAAATTTTCATTTATCATTAGAGCAAATTATTCGGTGAGAAAAACCCTGAAATCTCGTAGATCGTAGCCTTTGCTCTACATCAAATGAAACAATGAAGCAAGAAAAATAGAAAAATAAACAGAGAGAGTACAAATCCAAAGAAAAGTATAAGCTGTAAAAAGAAAAGAAAAGAAAAAAAAAACTAAATAGAAACCTCTCACTCCACAGTCCAGATTCCCGGTTCAAATCACAACAGCAACCCCAAAACCGTCACTTAGAATAACGAAAACCTGAGGCCATTGCTCGTTGCAAATAAGTTATACTCTTCCACCTCTGTGCTCTCTTTCGCTTTCGTATCGCCATTTCCAACAAGTCCGCGCAAAACCCCATCTTTGCAATGTGCAGGCTTCGATTTACTTCCGTTTGAAAGACCCACCGGTCCGCTGAAATGGAACAAGGAGAAGCCGTCTTCACTCACGCTCTGTGTTTCCGGTGGAGCCAAACCGTTTAGTTCCTGTGCCGGCTCAAGAGCCTGAGCATGGTCCTCGGTGTTGGTTTTGGAGAACTGATGGAAAACTGGAACTGGCCCGGGATTGAAGAAGGGCGCTGCCGCATGATTCAGCGGATTACCATACTGCAAGCAAAGCGGTGAGTCTCCGTTCATACTATATCCGAGGGGACCTGCGTATAGATACGGGCTATGGTGTGGGAACTGAATTAAGCCGTTGGCTGGAGTCGCAGCCCAGGAGACCGGTGGTGCTTGATGGAAGTAGGTCATTGGTGAAGCAGCCTGGAAAACAGGAAACTGTAGATTCTGGTTTAGCATTTGCGGATACATGCCTCCTTGTGGTTGCACATTTACTACACCATGTCCCATGTTATTGTTAATGTTGCTATCCGTGTTATTATTCCCAGTTACCGCCATCGGAGTTTCCGGGATTTGACTCTTCCCAGTAGCATCTGTTAAGAGGATGATATTGTTCTGTGTAGCAACACCTATATTCTCTCTTCCTTCGGATTGCTGACTGGCGTCTTCAGAATCGGATGTTGAGGAGGATTCAGTGTTCCCGTTGTTTGAAGAAACCGTATTGCTATCTCCCTCGCTCAGGCATGACGAGCAATTGTCTGAACTCGATGTACTGCTCATCATAGGATCTTTCAAATGCCACCCATCCTTTGTTTGCCCGGACTCCACGCCGTTATTGTCTTTAAGCTTGGGATTATCCAACGTCTCTGTAGCCTTGCATTGAGATGAATTCTCAGCAATACTAGTGTCTTCTAACTCTTCAGCCTTAAATGTGGAACATCTAACTGTTACTTCAGAGTCAGAGTTGCTTCGTGGATACTTCTTTGGCTCCATGGGCTCCCAAACTTTTTTTGGAGGATTTGGACCAACTCCCACCTTGCTTTTAAGTCGTAACTCACGAGTATAGTCTGGTTGAGTATACCTGTTGCCTCGGAACACTGGCTTGGAGGCATCAGGAGCAGAGTCCGAATTGGACAACGTCTTGGGTTCTCGCATGCTTCTGGTTGCGGGGATGCTAGCATCTACTATTGGTCGGTATTCACTACTCGGCCTGCAACTGCAAGAGTTAAAGTCAAACCTCTCACTCATCCTGTTTTCGGAACATTGAGGCTTCTCATGGGACTTTGAAGCTTTCACTCTTAACTGTCTGTTTGACCCATTGAAGCTCCTTGAAGACACTTCTAATTTAACATTACGGTATCTTCCCTCTGACCTACTGACAAAAGAAGTATTCTCTGAATATCTGCGTTTATCTGACCACCTCAAAGCATTATCAGATTGCATTTCTTTCCAGTATCTTGCATTCTGGTGAACAGGTTTTTGATGATCATTTGTAAAGTACTCGTTCTCATCTTCAACATCTATAACCTCTCTATCACAGTAGTGGTTTTCCGTTCCTGGAGAAGGGCAACTATCCAAACACTGTCCTTCTTGAACATCAGGAGAACCAGGTGGAGACAAATCTGCATCCCCAGTTTCAATTTCTGACTCTTCACAGTTTATGGTATTGTTCATCGCGTCATCAAGGTTTGGAAGATCTTCTTCTTCCCTTGATGAATTTAGCAGCATGTCTTGAGGATTTTTCTTCTCCTTGCCTCTTTCTTTTTCCTTCAATCTCTCCTTTCTGCGGAGTTTTTTCTCCCTCTCTTTGGTCCTTTTCTTCTCCTTCCGCTCCTCTTCTTCACGCTTTTCCTTCTCTTCTTCCTCGAGAAGTTTCCCCTGCAAGAGTTAAGACAAAAGAATTGTTGGACATAACCAAAATCACACGTGCTTTGTGTTCCTTTTAACAGAATCCCTACCTGTTTCTCCAAGGTAATAATATCCTTGCAAGCAACATGTACACGTTGCTCTAATAGTTTCAAAGTAAGACACACAAAGATGCTGTGTGCATTTTGACGAGCAGTTCCCTCTCTGAATGCTTTTTCAACCTAATACATATCCAATAACAGAAAGAAATGAGTACCTGATAGAGCACAAAATAACAATCAATACACTGTGACCTTGCGGGAAACTATATAGAACAGACCTGTTCCTTAAATATAACGGTTGCAGCATCTAGAAGAAACTCTCGAGCAAGTTCTGGACTTTTTGCATGCTTTTGCGGACGGGAGCATTCCCCATCAAGCTCATTCCCATCTTTGTCCATCATGTCTTCATCCTTTTATAGCATAGGAAGCACAGTGATTTCTTTTAAAACAATGAATGAATAATATTTGTGGTATCTTGAACATTTGAGAACTTTGAGTTAAGAAGCTTATGAATAATCTACCTCTTCTTCCTCAGCCTCTTCAGCATGCTCGAAAAACCTTCTGATGCTTTCCCCTGTCTTGATTGAAACAAAACCATCCCCAACAACTAGCCTGCCGTGCACACAGTGTTGACCTTTTAATGCGTGGGCTTTGACGGATACCTCAGACCAGCGGCCATCTAATTTATAAGCTCTAAGGGTAATGTAGCATGAATTTAAACCACGAAGGTCGAGGCCATTGACTTGAACTCTCCCATTCATGCCAACATTTTCAAATTTTAGGATATCACATTTTCCTTCTCCGGTTCCAATCCCCCACTCAAAATGATGGTACATTCCAGCGTTCTCAGAAAAAGTTTCCCGCCAATCTGCTTGCACCGAATCAATGGTTACCTGAATAATTGCAATTACATTTGAGACCCGATCTTGCAATATAATCCTCTCACGATATATAGAAATATACTTTCCGAAAACCAGGACTCTGGACTCTAGGAACCTACAGAGATAAAAATAACAAAGATAAAACACCTCATATTGGAAGGCTGTATCGGCAACACAAAACCAGGTGGTACATCGGGGTTCTCTCCGCATTCGCTTCAGTTCCTTAAGCTCTTTAAACTCACGAATAACATTTCGTCTGCAGTCTCTACAAAACCTCTTGCTGTCGAATCTGTAATTGAAAGGACCATTTGTTATTGAGGTCAAGGACTCCACATGACCAGACGAAGAAGATCGTTGTTGTATAGCATGACTTAGTAGGAACATCCTCAAACATCTTGTAATTCAGAATGTGATAACTTGAGTTGTAACATTTCCTGTTACCCATGACCCAGATAACATCTAAAAATCTTCTAGACTCAGTTTGTGATTGAACATCCAGGAATATCAAATCAATTAGTGACATACCTGTACCTCAGTCTCTCCATAAAATCTTCTTCTTTCATCCTCAAAAGGGATTGTCGAGTTTCCTCGCTGAGTGCGGACCAGAAATCCACCAATGTATCACAAGAAAGCCTCGCAGTATGTAGCGCACACGTTTCTCTTGTTCCATGCCCTCTACCATAACTAGCCATTCCTTGACTTATCCACCCCCGTCCTCCACCACCACAAGCGTCGGGATAAAGCAACTCACGTTCCCTTTCTCGAGCAGGGGCGCTGTCAAACACCTGCCAGAACCAATACATTAACAAGCCGAACTGGAGGGTCTGCAGAAATGTAACACCTTGCGTGAACTTACATTCTGTAGTCCTTTGAGAGACTTTGCGTACAAATAGCAATCAAGAAGTGTGAGTGATCCATCACGCGTCGCGGTGAGACCTCCCCAAGGATGAACAGACGGATCTTGCATCTCATCCCCACATCCGTTACTGACAACTGAGTTACAGTCTTTTTGGTATTTCGAGCCACCCGATTTGCTGTTCCCTATTGATCTCTCCGGATGCAAGGACTTCCCATGCATAACAATCTGCAAGAAACCTTCAAGAAGCAGGCCGTTGCATCTAGAACAATACATGTTCTTCCGAGCTTGCTCAAACAGAGTCTGTTTGTCAACCTTGAGAAGTTCCTGCCTAGCTTTCGGCGACAGCTCACTCCAGAACTGCACACAAGTTCAGAGCAATTTGCTTCGAGTTAATGATTTATCATCAAAGTTTGTGTAAGAGAAGCAAGGCCAGAAAATGTGAACACACATGGCGCCATCTATTCGACAGATTATGATTATTCAAAACTCTTCAGGAGAGAAAGAAAAAACGGGACAAGAACAATCTGCAGTGTTCACAGTAGTACCAGAGAATACTCCAAAACATAGAAACGAGTTTGTATTGCGACGAGAAAAAATATACCTAAGATCTGAACTAAAACTTCGGTTCATACAATCAAAGCAAAGCATCTCTAGCTAACAAACACCTTTTATAAACATCAATCAAAGAGAAAATCATAGACGAAGATCCAATCGAAGCTAATTCAACGTCCAAAATGCGGAGAATCCAATCTCCAGACGACTCATAACAATGGATAAGTACCTTGTGCAGCTGATTGTAGCTGACTCCATCGATTTCCTTTGACCAGAAGCCAAAAGAGTATTGGTCATTCCTCTGCGCTAAACCTGGCATCATTTACAGTCTCTTCTTCTGTTCATCAACCAATGTATTCATTATAGCTCCGCACAGCCTCAGACTGAAAAACCCAATCAGGAAGCGATCCTATCCGATTCAATTCCGTCGAATCGGACTACGAAAACACCAAACCCAATCGGAAAACACAAGAAAACAATCGATCGGGGGAACGATTCTGAAAATGAATGAATGAAAAAAAAAAGAGAAGATTCCGATTATGAAAATTCCCGGGAAAATCTCTTTGCAGATCCTTAAGAGAAAGAAAACGAATCGAATAGGATTGAAATGGAGAAAGCCGCAAATCAGGGTTCCTCGGTCGATGACGATGACGATGAGATTCGCGGCTGCGTCAAATATTCTAGAGAGAGAAAGAGAGAGAGATGAGATGTATAACTTATAAAGGAATGCTGGCTTGGTAGAAAATTTAGAGGGGGCGGTTAAAATGAGCAAACGATAACAAATTTATGATTTCATTTTTTTATTAACTTTTTTTTTTTGTTCTTTTCTTTGTGACTGTGTGCAGTGTGTACTCGCTTTTTTTTTCTGTAACATTATTTAGGTAATAAAAACTTTCAGAATAGGAAAGCCAATAATTATATCAATTATATAGAACAAAATTACATATTTATTAATATCAGATTTTCTATATAATATAACATAATGATGATTATTTTTTGTTAACAATGGTGAAAATGATTTTAAATAAATATTGTATATTTTTTTGCTTACAGGGATGTTTGTTACCTTTACTCTAATGTAATACATGTGTGTGTGGGTATAGTGTTGTCATCATTGCAAAAATTGTGTTTACTATTTAATATTTTTCATATATAAAATCAAAAAAAATCACAAAATTAACGTATATATATACGAATAAGTGATACTATAGTGTTATTATCCGGATTTAGAATATAGAACATGAAGATCATTTGCCAATTGCCATCGACTTCGAACAAGGCAACCTGCAGGATGTTGTGCTGAGTGGTGACAGAAGGATTAAACCATTAAGCTAATCAACTCCGGTCAAAGTAAACAACATGCTTAAAGAGTTTCAATAATAGTAAGACTTAATCTATTTTAAAAATTAAAGAATAGATGCAACATCAACATCTCAAAATTAAATATACTTTTACATTTTCAAAACATATTCCGTTTATTTGTTGATTATTAGTATAATCCAACATCGAGAATGAGATATGATATTAAAAGAAATGTCGCACAAAGGGATGGATTTTATTATTTGCTTATGTCTAAAACTTTCTTAACGGATTAGCGAGAAATATTTTCTTACAAAGTTTGAAAAATTTATAATTTACCAACATGTAAATGTCTATTTTAAGCGAGGTTAATCTTCTTTGGTTGCATTGTGATACTATGTGAAGGAAAAGTTTCTGTAAGATGAAACTTTGTTAATTCTTTCAAAAAGTTTAGTGAAAATTACTTTCGTAAGCATTTGTTGGGATTATATCGATAAGCATGGATTAGTATTCTTGCTTTGATTCAAATGCATCTCAGCGCTAAAGATATCTTGTCTGCTTCTTGTGGAAAAACAGTACAAAGTTTTAGTAATGCTCTTGCATAAGATCGCCATTGTTAACCCAAAAAAATGAACCAAACTGTTTCGGATATGGTTTTACAACAAGAACATAGCCAAAATCATGTCTTACCTTTTTCCCTACATTCCCTGTCTCAAACCACAAAAACCCAGCAAAAAAAAAAACCCAAAAAAGTACAGATGATATAATTCTTGCAGCCACAAAATAGAAACAATGGCTCCCCTCCAAACTGATTCACCATAGAAGATTATCATCATCATCTCATCTTCATCCCCACTGGAGAAGACTCCATTATAACACACTAAAACCAGACAACAAATTCCAAATCTTCCATGTGATCATTACCTCTCCATGGGGCTTCTTCTTATGTACATCAATTTCTCAATCAGTTCTTTGTTGCTTCGTTTCAGTTTCACTCTTCTTTCCAGATTCGACCGGTCACTCTCAGCTTGAGCTCTTGCCTATCACCTCCAGAGAAGTAGAGTGCGAGGTTTCTTGGGATGATGAGACCGTCTTGGCTGTCCCGGACTTTCCTGTGACTGTCACGGATGCTTCTAGGGATCCCTTGCCATGTTAGTTTGCGTCCGTGAGCTCCTACTTCCAAGCTGTAACTGAACTTCTTCGCCTCGTTCTCGTCCCCCATGAAACGAAGGAATGCCATGTACACTGGAGCCATCCCAAGCTGAAACGCCTCAAAGTGTAAACAGAACTGTCTCCCAAAACAGTTGAACACCTGGAATCCAAATTTAAAAACAAAACTTAAGAAATCAAGATACAAGATAAAGTGTAAAACATGTATTTGAAGACTAAGATAAAAAAAAAATGAGAAAGCATCCCTATCCGATGGTACTTAATGAACCAGCAAAATCAAAAGTAAACTTAAAGAAAACTGTACTGCGAAAGAGGAGCAAAGTATGAGTAGCACAAAAAGCTTCCACTGTAAGATCAGAAGCTGGAGATTCTATTACTCTAATACGGATCCAATCTAGTTCTCAAAGAAGAGCGCTAAAGCAAGGAAAAGTTCAGGGTTCAGGATAAACAAAGTGAAAGAAAGTGAATGTGAAGCTGAGTCATATGATGATAGAAGAAGCAAAAGTCAATAGTAACATAACCACAGCTCTTAAATAAAACAACAACTTATGTGAAAATTTACTTTCAAATAAAGAAGAAAACACATCGAAACAGGAAAATCTTACCGTAAGCATCCACGTAGCATTTTCGACCTCATGTGGATTTGATTTCACATACCGGTGGTTGAAAGTGCAACCGTCATGCATATCGACTTTATGGTCATCTTTGAGATGCACAACAAGTGTGGGGATATCACCTGTAACAGAGCACTCAGAGCCAGCATAAGGGCAAGTGTAAGGCCTAAACCTGCAATGCTGCTCGTGCTTAAGCTTGCTGTAGTAAGGGAAAATGTCATGACACCCCAAATTTTGGTACCGGCATGGAACCTCCAGGGACTCTGCAACCTTCTCAAGAGCTAAGCATCTTATGTTACCAAGCTCGTAGCGACACGTAGGGCACGTGTTCTGCACCCTCGCTTTGCAGTTTGAACATAACGTGTGGCCATTTGGACACTGTACAGTTTAACAGCGTTAAGAACATGCGCATTGTTGGTTACAAAACTTTTCAAGGAAAAGAAAAAAAAAGTGACATACCTGATGAATAGGAGGGTACATTAGATTTGTACACACGGGACATTCAAGAAGCTCATAAACTCCATTGTTCGAATGCATCCCGTATTTTCCAATTCCTGCGCTACCTGACGACTTTGTAGGTTTGCTATTGTTATTCACCTCCACTTTCGCCATTTTAACTTCGTAATCCATTCCTGTCGAATTAGATTCCAGGACTTCTTTCAAAGCACTGCCTCCAGGAGCCATGGTAGAGTCCAAATCCCTAATTCAACAGGATGAAATCGCCCTTTGCTTTCACTTGTTGCCCCAGATGATTTACTCCTTTTGGATCTATTTGTTTTTCTGCAGGAGGAAAAAAGGAATCATGACTTAGCTTAAATAATTCACATGTCAAACTTAACACTCATATCAAATAAACTGAGAGAAAAACAGACTTAAAGAGCAGATATTTAGTTCAGTTGATCAAGTCTTTTTTGCTTTATTTCTGGGAAGAAAATAAAATAATTCAAAAGTAAACAAACATTTGAAGCAAAACATTAAATGCACTTTCAGATAGGTAACAAAGCAATAGGCCTCAAGCTATGAACAATGCTAAAGGCTAGACCTTTGCACATTCCAATGACTTCAACAGTTAACAGTAATCAATCACAGGACTATCAAACATCAAAAGGGCAAATTCCAAGAGAAAAAACATTTTAAAAAGAAACATATTCTCTCTGCAGACTATTCTCTTCAATCTAACTAGACAGAGAAACAATAATCATGGATCTAACTAGCACAAACAAAGATCGTGCAAGCAAGGTTTCAAATTTTGAAATTAACAAAAAAAAAAGTTTGATTTTGAAGTCTATAGAGAACGGTGTTGAAAAATGCAAACCCCAATATCATAAATCTCAACATTATCTTTGCCCTATGAAACAATTTCAAAACAATCCATCCGTGAACCAAAACGATTCAAAGACATCAAAATAGAGAAAGGGTTTCCCCAAAAATTCGGTATTTTTTAACCTTACGAGATATATAATTCCCCACAAAAAAAAATTAAAAAAGCAAGCTAGATTCGTCACACGATGCTTCCTGATTATAAGATGAAGCACCGACCCGAGAATCCGACCCGGAACCCTAATTTCAGAATTCGGTAATGATTTTTTTCCCCCGATTTCAATTTTTTTTTATAAAAATATAAAACCTAAATTCAAAAGGAGGAGAAGATGTTTATTACCGGGAAGAAATTTCAGAATTTGGCGTTCGCGTGTTTATCGGTTTTGGGTTTGCTTCAGATTCAAATTAAGAGGAGAAATCAATCGATCTTTGAAAAAAAAAAAATATGCGGATTACCCAGAAAACAAAAGGAGACGGGAGGAGGCGGAGGAGGATGGTTGTGTCCTGTCTTGTTCGTATCGGTGAAAGCCATTAATGGTGGTCTCTGTTTTGTCTTTATTCCACTTTTAAAACACCGAATCACAATTCACGAAGGTGGTTCCTTTTTTTAAGAAATATATTAATCCCTCTTAATTGCTATTTTATCAGATTTTGTACTATCTTCATAATTATTACTCCTACTACATTTGAGTTTATTTTTTTCTTATTCATTTCCATTATATGGTGCGTTACAAGTTACTACGCACGATTACTTCCTTTTTTATGTTTACATATATATTCATGTCTTTAAATTCCACCAAGAAAACAACATATGGTTGTTGACAAAAAAAACTTCCAGAGAAGCAAAGAGGAAAAATATTTCTTCATTTGAAAAAAAGTTAATTGCATCACATTCACACACGCAAAATCACAATTATACGTTTGTGTCTTATGGGTAAAAAACAAAATAAGCAGTAAATAGCAGGTAAGGAATTTGAAATGTGATGGTCTCTAAGTATATTGAGGAAAATACAAAAATAATGACCAAATACGAAAAGATCTAATAGCCATTTTAAAATGAAAAATCTTATTGGCTCGAGTTCGTGCATTGAGTTACGAGACGACGCTCGTTTCCCGCACATGTCATTTGAGTTTATAATTTCCTCTCTTGTTAGTTTTTTTTGCTCTAAACTTTCAAACTTCTACTAGTGTATATATATATATATATATATATATATATATATATATATATATATATCTGCCGTTGATGTAATTTTCTTCACGTAATTTAGATATGTTAATTAGAGAGAACCTGTTTCGTAGTAAGAGTTCTCAATAATTAAAAAAAAAAACTTCCAAAATTTAATTTATTTGATTTTTAAAAATATTTCAAATTAATCACATTTCAGCTGTGCGTAATACGAAGGGATATACGGAAAAATTATAACTCAACTAAACAGACCATTCAAATTATGTAAGTTTAAACTGAGAAATTTTGGCAGCATGTTGAAGCCTACAAATGTCACGTATCTTTTCAATTATAAATGATGAAAGCCTGCAAATGGTGAAACGTTTTTTTGTGGGGTTTCCCCTCGTGTGAATGTATTTATGCGGTGTTATTTTCTTTTGAAAAATAATAAATAAAACAAGAAAAATAGATATAAAATCAGATTTTTGTTCTAAGCAGAAGTGAAATAATTGAAAGAAAACATATGAGTTTGATAATTGAAAAGAATAATTTACGTGTCGGATGTCGCTGTGCGCATGTGACATGTACACTGGTCAAAGTATTTTGGATTTTTGAGAATCATCCGAACTCTCGCGGGGAAACATTGCTTAGTGGTTAGAAAATAAATATTTTAAAATAAGAATTAACGTCGCCTGAGAGATTCGAACTCTCGCGGGGAGACCCCATGAACTTAGCAGGCCCACGCCTTAACCACTCGGCCGAAGCGATTTGTTGTAACTGTGCTGGAAACATAGTTTATCCTCGTAAATAACTTTCTATATAATGGATTCAATGGACTCAAAAAACCTATGGCCAGGTTCGATCACACAAGATATGTATTGCTGAAATAAGATATAAGATAAAATACTTTGATTAAAATAACATCCCTATTGCGAAAATTACAACAAAAGAACACAACAAACCAAAAAGCAACAAAAGAAAAATAGAGTTACAAATCGTTTTCTTCATCGTCTTCCACAGATTGAAAGCCAATTTTTTTTTATTTGTTTCAAGTAAATCTCCTTCTCCTTGGCGGGCGAGAATCTGCACTGTCTACATCAGAAACCCTCGAGCCATTCTCATTCCTTCTCCTCGAAGAAGATGTCGAGAGAGTGACCATAGAATCAATCTCAACTGCAGTATCCACCTGACTCTCAGAGTTTATAACAGCCGCTATGCTTGAGAAAGAGTCTCTATCATCAACCACAACAGGAGGATGATGATTCTGGAGTTGGTGGTTCCTCCCCAATGGATGAGTTCTGAAATACGCATCCACAAGCCGCTCAGCAGAACTCAAGGCAGAGGTGAACGTCGAGATCCTTGCGACTCGGTGCGACTGTAACTGTCTCCTTATCAACAGAGGATGGAATCTCGTGGTGGTTTCTCCTTCAAGATCAGAAGCAATGTTCGGGTTTAGATCGATATCCTCTGACGCTGCTGCAATGGCTGCTGCTGCAGCACTAGCTTGGCTCTGCTCTGATCTAACTCCCCTGGAAGTCATCAACCGGTTAAGAATCGAATTGGCTCGATCGTTGGCTCTTTCCGTTGCCTCGCGGTTACTGAAATCAGGGACCGGGGTTGAATCCCTGTCAAACCTACTCTGTATACGTCTAATCATTTCTTCCATCGGTATCGTAAAAGGCGACCTCTGAATCGTGTTCCTCAAACTCTCGATGCGTCTCGCGTGGGGTCTCATGGGGATCTTGGTATCTAAACTCTCTTCAATCTCCCTTTTATGGTTCCCGCGTCCATAGATGGGTGTCACGGTTTTGGGGGTCACCTCTCCTTTGCAAACCGGACATTCCTTTGCATCCGAGATTTGTAGCCATTGGTACAGACAAGGCCAACAGTAAAGATGGCCGCAACAGGTGAGAACCGGCTCCTTCGACAGATCCAAACATATGTTACAATCAAAAAAGTTACCGTCGCTGCCACTGCTTTTCTCCACATCCCCTTTCTTCTCCGACACACCGTCCCCAATCGCTCCGTCGCCGTTCTCACACATTTTCAGATCCTCATTGCCTCTTTCACTACCCTCCCCAGTCTGCAAAGAAGCTCCGTTTACAGAACTTCCCATCAACTGGTTCAGTTCTATAGCCATGGTATGGGTTTCAGATAGAACAGGGATGGGGAGATTGAGCTGTCTGAATCGCGTCCTATGCCGGGTCCTGATCCTTGTCACGGCTTCCGAGGATCTCTCGGACGGCTCATTAGTCCAATCAGCCAAATTCACAGTCTCGTTTGGTGCTGGCTGGAGATCTGACTCAGGACCAGGCCCTAGATTCAAATCCAGGTTCATTGTGTCAGCTAACTCCTCACCCATCAATAAACAACAAAAGCTCTTCCTTTTACTCGCCGAAACCACTGTACTCCGTGGGATCTTTATTATTCTGCATGGACGACAAATGATGACCCAATTAAAGCTTATACGGGTCACAGATAGTTTTGCTAAAACTTGGAAAACGGGAACAAAAGAGAGTGATATCAAACAGAATCAAATAGGTAGATCTCATAAAACAATTCAATCAGTTTAGCTATCTTTGCAGGCACAGAGTTTATAATCTAAACTCAACGACATACAAGAAAGATGGTGTGAAAATGAAAATATAAGTAAACCAGAAGAAGAAGAAGAAGAAAACATACCCAACGTTCTAAACATTAGGAACAAGAACACAAAGTTCAGATTTGAAAGCTAAGAGATGGATCACAAGTAAAGCTAGGGGCAGGTGAATCAGCAAATGGAGAGGCAGAGATGTAGCAAAATTTCGACCTATCTATGCAGGCACACAGTTTTCAATCTAGACTCGACATACAAGAAAGACAGTTTGAAAATGAAACTATTCGTATGAGTTTTAGTAAAATATCCACCAAATATAAGTAAAACATAAGGAACAAGAACACAAAGTCCAGACTTTGAAAGCTAAGAGATGGTGCACAAGAAAACCCTAGGCGAGGTGAATTTAACAAATGGAGAAGCAGAGATATAGCTGAATTTAGAGCTTTTCAATAGAAAAAGAGCCAAAATCAGAAGGAAGAGAGATTTACCGCGGAAGCAATATACAGGCGTGGGAGTTGGAATATTCTCAGATTTGCTTCAGATTCAAATGATAACGATGGATTAACAAAGCAGAAGGTGAAGAAACCAAGTCTCGGGACGAACAAGACGCTAATTACAAATAGAGATGGCAAGAGACCAACCCATTATTCCATTTCTGAGAGCTAACCATAGATCTCCTCCAAAAAAACAATTAGGGGATACCAACATCAAGAAACCCCCAATCCGAAAACCCTAATTCTCTCAAATCCCCCGCCTGAGAAATCCGCAACCTTCTTAAAAAAAAAAGAAAACAACCAGATTGAAGAAAACCCCAGCTCTCGACTCTCGATCCAATAAAAAATCAGCTTATGAAACCCCGAAACCGATACAAATCTTACCCAAAAAAAATGATTACAGAAAAAAAAATAAGAAAATCTGGAGCTGGAGAGAGGAAGGAACAATCAACGACCTGGACTGGATTAGGTCGGCGAAATCATAAGACCATGGGCTGAATCAATCAGCTAGAACAACAAGCTCAGAGCTCGTGAAAGCTTAGCTGAAGCTCTCGCGACAAGGCCATGGAAATTCGCCTTTTTTACTTTAGGCACAAACGTCCAAATCTTGTCAAAATTGGCTAAGTGGGAAAACGAACCGAAGCCTCTAAGCAGAGAGAGAGAGAGAGAAAGAGAAAGAGGAGAGGAATCTGGTACGCTCCGGTTTAGGCAAAGGACTATCTAAAGTTATACGCGATGATCTCGCTCTTTTTGTGATCGGACGGCTAGGGAAATAGTAGGAATCATTTTGCGAGACGAGTTTCTTTTTTGAACATATAGAGAAAAGAGAAGCTATATTCTATAGTTTTATTATTAATCTTATCATAACGATAAGGGACGAAAGTCGAAAGATACCGAATGATTTCTATAAATGTATACCAAATCTCATTAGGTGTCCTTCGTTTTTGGTGTGGAAACCCTTGTTTAGATGCTAAACCTTTATATATTCTTCGTTTTGAGGCAAAAGTGATATTACAATTTATATATATTGCTAATAATACAGAAGAAAAGTAGCCTCCTCTACCTATTATCTACTTCATTAACTCTTTAAATCTCTAGCAACTCCGAAGCTAAGAAAGGATCCAAAGTTACTCTCTCTACACCATTTCACCTGAGGATCTTTACAGATACATAATTACATGGAAAAGAATGTCAACTTCGAAGCACGTAGCTATCTATCAACACATGGAAGTTTCTACAATTTCCCAAACACAAGAAATATGACTCACTCTGACCAAAGCAGCTCGGTTAAAACGCAGAGTCGATAGAAAAAAAAAATCTGCAAAGCGACTGGTCAAAGTAAAGATCTTGCAATCTCTCTTGAGGTAAAACAGAAGTGAGGTAAGTCCTGCACTACTTTGCTTGAGGTCATATAAAGGCTATGATGAGTGACTTATGAGAACCCTATCAAACTCTTATCAATGTGTTCATTCAAAACACGAGGTAATCAACTATATCCTATTAGTTCATGGCTAGCTTTTGGCATAACGATTGATATGCCACTGTGCAGAGCTTGAATTTTTCCTCGGCTGCAATCTGTGTTTCATCATTACCAATTTGTTATTCATGATTCTACACATTAAGTTGCCAAAAAAACACACACAGTGAAGGTGTGACTAGAGATTGTATCGATTACCTTAGTAGAGACGTGGTGACGATCTGGATGCCATTTTAATGCACAAGCTCGGTATCTGAGGAAAAAAGTTGGCAACCAGAGAGTAGTGTAGAGTATTAATAACGCACGATCTAAGTAACCATAGTTCCCCTATGGTGAGACGAAGGTGACTAACTAATATACTTACGCGTTTTTGACATCTTCAAGATTTAAGGGACCTGAGGAACTCAGACCAAGTGCCTGCCTGTGAGACCCCTGTTCTGAGTCTGAGTCGATGAACTCTGTTGAAGAATGTTCGTCTTCTTGATCTGATCGTTGTCTCGAGCCCCAAGATCGTTCAGAGTTGTTAGAATAGCTCCACGAGTGAGCTTCCCCTTCTTCATTGGTGTTCGAGCCAGAGAAATCGTGGGCTCTCCCTCGAGATTTCCTATATTTATGGGTGAATGAGGAAGAGAAACCCTTGGATCCACCCAATGCAGACCGCAAAAAGTATTCAATTTCAAATCCCTCATCAACTCCACAGAAATCAAAACACCCTACACAGATTTAAAAAGCAACACATTTGAAAAATCCATTAGACTCTAAGCATGAGCAGTAGTAGCTAAACAGTCTATAGAGGTAACAAACAAAGACCTCATTAGTAGAGACAAAGAAGAGTTTGTCTTACTTTTATCCAAATTTTGAGGAATGTGTCTACCATTCCGATTTCTTTTGCAAACCCTAGAGTACTGTTTCTCGAACCACGAGCTGTGCTTACCAGAGTAATCAAACCCATCAGTCCAAATCTGGGAAGCAAAATGGTATCTAATTGCATCAAAATTTGAGAGCTTTTACAACGAAAACAGAAAAAAAAAAAAAAAAAAAAATTTAACGATCAAATGAATTTAGACATATGAGTTTGACAGTACCCCAAATAAATGTTCTGCAAAAGCATTCACATTGTGACGCAAGTCTTGCTTTGCCCTATCTCGTCCCAAGCTTCTGCTTCGAGCTTTCGAATTCTGTCAGATGTCAAAAGGCGAAAATCAAAACGAGAAACAAATATCCAAAATCTGGGGAAGAAATTCGGAGAATATGATGGGACGTATTGATCTATAATATCCAGAGCACGAATACAAGCAAATGTGCAGAAGAAGAAGAAGAAGAAGAAGAAGAGATACTGACGGAGTGATGTTTGCGTTGTAAGATGGGAGTAGAATGGAAAAAGGCAGTATTAAGGTGAGTAAAACAGCCTTGCGGCGGCTTGAGGATCGCTGCTCTAATGGCGGCCATCATCTCCGGCGGCGAGACGATCCAAGGCGTTGTGGAACTCGGGCTTGACTCAGTTGCGGCGGCATGTGTACCGGTTTAGCGTATAAACCAAACATTTCTAAAGACTTAATTCGGTGGGCCTAAAGAAATTGGATGTTTAAGCTATTTTGAAATTGGATTACCAAACAAAATAGAGGAGATATGCTTTTACCCTACTGATACATATTGATTGGTACCGTTAACATCTCACGCTAATTTAGGCCCAGCCCAACAAGATACGCGAAAAAAAGTAATTGGTCCAGGCTTTATAATTGAGTTTTTAACGTAGCAAAAATCGATGTTGCATGTGTAAGATAAAAGCAACTAACCACAAAATATTGCCTCATCAGCTTATATAATCGATGTCCTATTGACTCGACAAGAAAGAAGATTCACTGCAATATTAACTTTCCCAAAAATCGATTCTAATTTCTTTTCTTTTTTTTCCCACAATGAAACAAACTAATGCAAGTAGATATTAAAACCTACCTCATTTAAGACGATACGATTAAATTGCTAATAAGTTTAGCCAATTATAATGGCGAAAACTACCTTTTTAATTAAAATTTTAAGCTTTTCCTTTTTTTTTCACTTTTGGTTAATTTTGTAATCTCCTTTGACTTAACGTGATTGGGCCCTCGTTTGATTGTGAGCAGAAAAAATAAACAGTACATACTCAAAGACTCTGCTGCTCTCTCGTCTTCTTCTTCATTTCTCAGATTTTTCTACGCAGCGAAATATAAAAACCCAAGCTTTGATTTTTCCCCTCTCTACTTTCTCCTTCAATGGCATTGATACAACACGGTTCGGTTTCTGGGACCTCTGCCGTTCGATTGAGCTTCTCATCCTCCGCATCACCACCGCCTTCTTCTCATCCCTTGACGACGAGGGTTTCTCTCAGTTTTCAGCCGGAGAAGAAGGGTTGGAGGAGGAGTTGTTGCCGGAGACTGATATGCAGAGCTATGGCACAAGAGGCCGTTCAAGGGATTCCTTCGGTTTACGCCAGGGAAATGGAGCGTCTCTCTGCTAAGGAATCGCTGATTCTCGCCGTAAATCACTCTTAATACCTTTCTTCTCTCGTCTTTAGCTTCTCGATTTCCCGATTCTGAAATTGAAATTTCCCTGCTTGCTTAGTAATTGGTTAGAAATTAGGTTTGGATTTAGTATTCGGTATTGTAAAATCCCGAGATTGCTTGGATGGATTCACAAATTGCAATTACGAACTTCGATTGGCGAAAAATCTGTGTTTTCTGATTTTCGAGCTCTGAGACCATTTTGGATTATACAGTTCAATGATGCTGGAGGCTTTGAGGCTTTAGTCACAGGGAAGATCACTGATATGCAGAGGATTGATGTGAATGAGAGGATAACCACTCTTGAGCGGCTTAACCCGACTCCTAGACCAACCACGTGAGTGCTCGGTTCCAGCTTTTTCAAAAGGGGTTTTGCTAGTGACATTGCCATTAACATGGTTCCCTAATAAGCTTTCCAGGTCTCCTTATCTCGAAGGCCGATGGAGTTTTGAGTGGTTCGGAACCAGCACTCCTGCTTCACTTGCTGCTCGGGTTATATTCGAGTCAGTGTGCTTTTACTCTCGATAACCACAGAGACACTCGCTTCATATTTCTAAAGCGTGAGGTTTGAAACTGTGGCAGGAGGTTTCCTTCGGCGTTTGTGAGTCTATCCAATATGGACATAGTCATTAAGGATGCTAACGCAAAGGCGACCGCAAACGTCAAGCTGCTAAACATGGTGAAAACACTTTTCACCATGATAAGAAATTATGGATATATATATATAACTATGAGCTTCTTTGTAATGCAGGTAGAAAACAAAGTCATCTTGTCGTCGAAATTGACAGTGGAAGGGCCTTTAAGGATGAGAGAAGAGTATTTAGAGGGATCGCTCGAGTCGCCGACGGTTATTGAAGAAGCAGTACCGGAACAGTTTAGAGGTTTACTGGGCCAAGCTACCACGACGTTGCAGCAGCTTCCTGAACCGATCAAGGACACTCTAACCAGTGGTCTAAGAATTCCACTTGGTAAGCCATTATAAGCAAGCAACACTTTTAACAATTCCCTCATCTCAGGTAACGTTTTAGGCATAACCATGAGGTGTTGTTGTTGTTGTTGTTGTTATCGGCTTTCAGGTGGATCTTACCAGAGATTCTTCATGATATCTTATTTAGACGACGAGATTCTTGTAAGTTCATGGATTGTTATGCCCCTGGAAGTTAAATTCTTGCAGAGAAGAAGCTTACAGAGTATGAAACGGGTTTTTCGTTGTTGTTGTGCAGATTGTTAGAGATACGACGGGAGTGCCTGAAGTACTAACGAGGGTTGAAACATCGTCTTCATCAAGCGTCGTAGAGGGTTTTGAATACAACAGTTAAAAACGTGCATGTCCTTATGTTCCTCTGTTTATGTATGTAAATGCCAAACAAACTTGAATACAACTTACTTCAACACCATATATCTCTGGATACATAAACCTTTACTTTGTCTCTCTGTCTCTTTCAATTGACTTTGTTGATTTCATTAGTGAATATTTTGGAATAAATATTTGAAAAACGAAAAGCTAATTACATATACTCCTTCCGAATTACAATATGATATTTAAACATCTTTTGTGTCAATCGCTGAGAGAGGGATGTACAAGAAAACAAAACTTGGATGCAAAACTTAATGTAAAATAACATGTTTAATTAACACGATGAACAAATCATGGTAATACATTAAGGAAGAAATAAAAAGGAGTCTAAGCTTTTTATAAAACTAATTAATTAGCCCCATATTAAACAAAAGATAATAATAAATTAAATTTATTTCCACAAAAACCTAATAAACAAAATGAAAGACACCGAAGAAAGAAAAAAAAGTTACTTTTGAGAGAGATAGAGAGTTACGCGAACTGGTGGTGAGAATCTGAGAAAATTGATCCACCATGTAAATGCGAGGAAGAAGACGAGTTAGAAGAAGCCGAAGCGTCCATGGAAGACAAGGGCAAATAGGGAAATTCACCAAGTTCTTGGATGAACCCTTCGAAATCTCCCAAACCGTTCAAGAACCCTCCGGAGCTCTCACCACCGCCATTATTGCCATTCCAAGTCATCGAGATCTCTTCCATTTCCGAGTTTAAGCAGAACCCTTGCTCACAATGCTCGACTTCTCTTAGTTTCTCCGTGTTGATGATCATGTCTTGGACTTGACGATGAAGACGATGCGTATCTCTTCTAGGTTTTGTCTTGGAACCGCTAAGGTCGTCTGGCCTGCCGGTGAGGCTTTGGACGAGCTCACGGAAGTTGGCAACGTCGGTCTTGATGATCTCAGGAGCAAATATGTGAATGATACGGATCTTTGGCTTCGATTTGGTTATTGAGTATGACTGCTTGTGCATCGCTATGGTTGATGATGGGATTCTTCTTTTCTCGAAGATGGTTGCTTCCATTTTTGGAATTCTTAGGGTTTGTTACAGAAGAGAGAAAGATAGAGTTGGTGGATTTGATAGTAAGTGGGAGATATGCGAGGGTTATATAGGAGGAAAATGGAAAATGATAAGTAAGAACAAAAAATAAAAGAATTAATTAAACAATCCTTCTTCCAAGATATATACTATACATGTACAGTGGAAGTATATATATATATGAACTATATAATTAAATGGGACTTTTTGATATTTTTTATGACAGGAAAACTCACGTCGTCGTCAAAACACATATCCAAAATTTATAAATTTATAGCCATCATGTACATTTTAACAAATTCCATCTCTGGTCTTGTTTGATATATAATTATTGGATAAACTAGTTGGATTAAATTAATTTTTTGAAAGAAACTAGATTGATTAGTTAATTACATGTAGTTAATATGAGAAAGATGTGTAAGTATGCCTCCCAAGACATGAAAAAGATGAACAAGAAGCGAATTGGTCCCCTCCCACTAACCAAAGTCCAAACTATCATGTTGTAGTTTTTCTAATATATCATTTTTTATTTTTTTTTGTAATAATATTGAAATATTTATGTTCTGTGTTTGTTTGTGCCTGTGTATAGTAATAGATAAATGCAGGTGGTAATAGACTACTAGTTAAAATATGGTTTAATTAATCATTGTAGGATTTCACAAACTTGTCCCCATGTATTGTGCACACAAAACTCAACAAACCTATGATGATTGTTTTTCTCTTCTTACGAGAGAATACAATATTCGCTTATAATTATTAGCTTGTTAGTTAATGTAGGGATCAATTTTGGCATAGAGTGGTCTGGACTTTTAATTTACAACAATTTCATGTTTGGCCTAGCAACAGAAAAAAACAGAAACAAAATTATAATGAAAAAAGTAAACATGCAATTTTATTTAGTCCATACTAACTAAGCTTATACTGTTATACACACGTATCTCTTAGTGATGCACATGAGTTAACGAAACAATTGAAGGATTTAGAACTGATTAAAAGAAAATCGTACGTACGTTTTAATCAGCAGATGGAGATATATAATAATGTAGATAAAATGATGAAGTAGAATGTGAAGAAGATACACGGAGATGGCATGACTCTGCGGTGACTCTCACTTACCTTTTTACCTTTAGCCGTCTCACGTCCTTCTTCTCTTAATGCACGAGGCAGTTTCACTTCCTTACGTCAAATTTTCATTCTTCTTTATTAAAAGAGGAATACAAATAAAAACAAAAAACTAACACCTTTGATTGAGCGTGAAATAAAGAAGTGTATTATTGATACGTTTATGTATATCAATTTGGATCATCCAATCCAACGCATATACATTATCTAAAACAAATCGAAATCTATATGATACAACATGCTCATATACTTAAATATATTAGTGATCAACCACAAATAAGAAAAGAAATATACCAATACGGATAGCTATATCTTTTATCTCTAGCTAGCATTGACAACTTTGCAAGAAAATAAACTAATGAAGACAACTAGTGTCTTAGCTATATATCCTATACGCTAACTAAAATACATTAACAAGAAAATATCTATTACAGAACATATACGTGTGTCGGATCATCCTTGATATTTTTAAAAAAAAAACATAAGAATTTTGTTGCACATTCTAACGATTCGATTACTACAAGACGCGATGGATAATGGCCGTCGGATAGAAAAGTAGAGAGATACAAAAGGGATCCAACGGCTAGACTTAAAACCGAGAGAGAGCTGAAACTCAGCAGAAGGGATTTGGTTTTGTGCGTCAGAGATGAGGAGTAGTCGAACGAACACACGAGTCTTGTGCTCTCTTTTAGATTTGGCCCACACATGCGGGTAACTAGGCGTTAGATGTTAGACACGTGTTCGTACCTAAGCCGTATAGATTGTGGTCCTTCACGTATTTGTTTGACGTGGTTCCCTGTTTCCAAACTCCTTGTACATCTCTGCTTAGCTGTAATTTGTGGACCCCCCTACCCTAACTACATTTTTCTTTTCCCGATTTTTTTTATACGATAAAAGATACTCCAACTTAAATGATTCATGGAAATGATAAAATAATTTTTATAGTGTAAATGAATATATTGCAAAGTTAATGTTTGTCTGTGAATTATGCTAGAGAGAGAAGATGATAATCATGAGATACATCATATCCGTTTTCACCAGGAACATATATTATATATTCACCTCTTCATATATTATAGCAAATGTTGATGCTGAGATGTTAGCAAAACGGGCCTTAACCCAATGTGTAACAAACCCAACTTGAATGAATCAAAAAGAAAATTTGGCCCAAAAAAACAAGTTATTTGTAATCTTGTTCACATTTTTACACTGACCCGTTTCTTCTCTAACTCCATCAAACAAAACTGTACAACTACAAGTACTGAATATCTCAAACAAAAGTGCATAACTCCTGGCTTTTCCGTCAGTCTTCCCATTGCTCTGCACCGAGACCAGTGAGTTTCAACGTTACACTTTCTGCCAAACTGCTAAAGAGTTTTTTTTTTTTTTTTTGCTGAGAATGTGTATATGTTGGAAAGTTACCTCATCAAGATTGCTTCTGTATCCATTCTGATGTCTAAAAAGTTGGCATGTCTCCATCTCCCCAAATGATATGTTCAGGCGGAACCTGCAATGAAACCCATTGTCAGCTTCTGGTACATAGAGAGAGAGTGTTTGATTCCATGAAAGAAGATTATAACAGTTTTACTTCTCTGATATCCATCCAGCTTAACATCGCATCTCTCTCCATTGCATCTGGGTCTACTGCTTCAAACCGATGCATTTCCTGAACAGGAGAAGATTTCTTACCAACTGTATCGTCGACTACGCATGAGAGAAACAGGAAAGAGGTTTATTTACATGTTCTGCGTCGTACTCTTTGATCAAGAACTCTTCGAAATTCTCTTCATCTGGCATTCTCACACGGACCAATCTTCCAACTAGAGACTCGGGATCAACACTGACTAATATAGTATCACAAGCCGCAACTGGTTTTTCCTGCTTGAGTAAAACAGAGAATCAAAGTTAAAAACTCTGCTGTAAAATCCCAAAAAAAGCAACTTTTATGCCTTACAGATACGTCGTCCTTGTTCGATGGACTGCCCTGTTCAGCAGTAATCTTCCCTTCTTCCGCGGCAGCAACTTTCTTCTTCCTGAACAGAAAAAAAAAACAGAGGATTTTAGAGAAAAAAAAGGATAGAGAAGAAAGGAGAGAAGAAGATCACATGTTTTTGCGGTAGATAGATACCTCCATTGTTGAACCAGTGGATCAGCTATGATTTTATCCTCAAAAGCGATATGAGTATTGTAGTCAATGCTCAATTCTTCCTTTAGTTCGTCGATGATCGTAATCCTTGGCTGAAAAACAGAACACGATATGAGCACAACCTCCGAGAAGAAGAACCGAATCAGTGCGTAATCGCCATGAAAGATTAAAGCGGGTGATTACGCTGGATATTTCAGAAGATTCTGCGACGAAGGCATGAAGAACACGAAAGTAAGCCTTTCTCTGGAGTTCGTCGAGTTTCAGTTTCTTGTTCATGGCCAAGGAATGATCGTGTTCGCGATCGCTTGACCCAGGTAGCGCATTCTCTGCAGTATCTCTCTTCTTGAAAGGGAGAACATTTGATCCTTCTGCAACGGAGACAAGATCACCAGAAAGTAGTCATCACCGATCAGACGATTCCATCGTTGGGAGAGAAAAAAAGAGAGAGAAGAAAACAGAGGAATCCGAAACTTAAAAAACCCTAATTGATCGAGAGTCTCATCACTTATACAGGGGAATCTCGATTCGAGACACATCAAAAAAGGTTTGAACAGACTTACGGGATGGAGAATCTGGGGCGTGATCTTTCTTGTCCGACATTGCCGAGAACTAAGCGAACAGAGGAATCCAGAAATGGTGTTTTCTTCTCTTCTTGATGAAGTTTGAGAGAAACCCGTAGGGGTCGAAGAGAGAAGAGTGACGATATTTTGGATTCTGTTAAGGGTTTAGGAGGGAAACGTCGTTAAACTATACTTCTTGTTAAAGAAGGTAGGGCTTGTTCGTTGACCGTTTGATTAACTTGACTTAATTGCTTATTGGGCTGGGTATTGGATTAGTAAGTACTTCTTATGGGTTGGCATAGTTATAAAGCTTCTTATCCTTATCTTATTCTCACGTGTGAGAGAGGCCAGCGTACAGGCCTCACTAGTATCAATAGGGTTTTTGACCCAATAATTAGGCCCATGAATGTATACGGGCTTGATGTTTCAATACACACACAGAAAAAACGACAGAAGCCGATAGATAAACAAAAACACCAGGGATCTGTCCACCTTTCATTTTAAACATCACTACCTTATCTTTTCGCCTTGGGAGTTCCACATAATTACAGCACAGACCAGCTAGCATTAACCGTTATTCTTCATATAACACGAGGGTAAAGTCGGAAAAGGCTTGACGTTTGTATCCTCTATGTCCAACCAGAATCTTTCGGGAAACAAAAACAAAATTTCCAATTCTTAAGAAAAATGGAAAATTTCCACTGAGTTTTAATTTTGTTTTATGGAAATTAGTCTCTGAAACTCGTATAAATCTTTCTACTAGTTCACTACATTAGTAAATTGTTAAATTTGATCAATCCTTTATTTTTCGAGTTTGTATTTGGGGATCTGTTGGAAGAAGAAGATGAAGGCGTCGATGAAGTTTCGGGAGGATCAGAAGCCTCTTTTTAGGGCTAAAGTTCCCCTGAGTATCTTAGGTCTGCCGTTTCAATCGGGAATCGTCGCCGGAGAATCGAAGGAGCTCAGCCTCAATCTCTCCACCTTCTTCGAATCTGGGCCTTCTCTCAAGGTCGCTTACCGTCCAAACGACTCGTGGAACCCTTTCTCACTCATCGTCAAAACCGGGACGGGATCTTTCGGCTCGCCCGTCTCAAGCTCCATGCACATGAGCGCCGAATTCAACCTCCTCGGTAAAGGTAACCCGAGCTTCATGCTTCACTTCAAACCTCAATTCGGCGACTTCTCAATAAAAAAATCCCACTCTTCGTCTGGCTTCGACGGGAGTTTGATCAAATCGATGAATGGATCCGTTTCGGAGGAGGATTCCTCGATCGAGGTGGTGGATTCCCCGGCGGTCAACGGGTGCTGCGGCGGAGGATTCAGAAAACTCACGGTTTTGCCGTCAACTTCAGCCGGAGACATCGCCGGACTGCTAACCGGCGTGGAGGTCTCGGCGAGGACGTCTCTGCCTGTGAGAGGACGCGCCGTCGTGAATTGCCGGTGGGGTGTTCGGGTGCCTACGGAGATCAGGCGCGATTTGGATCCATCGGCTGCGATTTCGCTGAGGAGATTTCCTTTTCTGGTGCTGAACAAGATAGGGATCGAACACATGGACGGGTCATACGCTAAAGAGACCAAATCCACGAGCGATCCGGGTAAGGTTTCGGGTCTACCGAAAGCAAGTGATGATGTGGCGAAGATGTGTTTGGCCGTGGAGGAGCTTCGATCGGAGAACAGACAGCTAAAGAATGCAGTGGAAGACCTCCGGGGAGTGGTATCAAACGCCCGGCCATTCTCGCCGGCGACAATAGACTACGGATCGCACTCAAAGTACCGCGAAGCCGAGAGGAGCAGCAGCAACAACAACGGTAGATCGAGAGCTGATTACGGAGGGAAGAAAAGCAAGGAAGAGGGTGACGTGGCAGAGGAGCTCAAGAAAGCCTTGAAAGGAGCTGCTGCTTGAAAGCTTCGATGGTATCTGGTTGGTACTTACTCGCCATGATCTCGAGAGTTTATTAAAGCCTTTATTCGAATCGCACTACGTTAGTCTTCTTAATTTAGCTTATGGCGTCTGTATGTATGCGTTAATTTTCAGGATTTGCAGAACTTGTTTTTAAATCTTTTTAATGGATTTGCAGGAGTTTAATACTATGCGATTGTGTTTTGAAGTGGAATTACAGCTTGATGGGTTATAATCTTGTTTGCAGTGATTTATAAGCTTAACATAGTTGTGGCTGAACTAAAAAGGATTATATTATACAGTATCTGGATTTCGAACATAGAAGAGTATTTTTGTTTTGTTGACTTGTGGTTTTCCTCTTGAGCCATGGGGAGGGATTTGGTTGCAACTCGGTCATGGGTCTAATCTAGTGGACTAGGTTGGGCCCACTAAACGATACGACAAAACGAGCAAAGGTTGCTCAACATTTTCTCAATTGGTGCGCCTTGTACGAACACTTTAATTAACGAAACCTTATTTGTCCCACGAACCAAAAATCTAAAAAATAAAATAAAATAATCAGTCCCAAAAGTTTCTTAGTGGAGGCCAATACCAAACGATTTTGCAGAAGACGATCAATTTCTATTTCTACAAATTGGGACAAGTGACGATAAGCAAAATCCACCCTGTTCTTTTACTTAACGATATATTTCTCCTTTTCAATGGCGAAACCGGAAAACGACGAAAACTATCCAGAGAAACAAACATGGAGCACATGGGAGGAGCTCCTCCTCGCCTGCGCCGTTCACCGTTACGGTATTGACTCGTGGGACTCCGTCGCCGCTGAAATCCAGAGACAGAACTCTTGTTTCCGTACACTCACTGCCTTCGACTGTCGTCACAAATACCACGATCTCAAGCGACGATTCTCCCGGAAACTGGTCTCGCCGGGATCCGCTGAGGCAGAAACCGTTTCTGAGATCTCCGCCGTTCCCTGGCTTGAGGAGTTGAGAAAGCTCCGTGTCGATGAGCTCCGCCGCGAAGTCGAACGTTACGACCTATCCATCTCGTAATTTCCGTCGGCCGTGCTTTTTTTGTTTGTTTCTCTTACTGTTTTCGATTTCCAGATTTGCATTACCTTGGTTTCTTAATCGGGTTTTTTCTTTCGCAGGTCGTTGCAGTTGAAGGTGAAGAAATTGGAAGATGAGAGAGAGAAGAGCTTAAAAGAGTCGGAGACGGAAACCGTGAATTCAGATCTAGATAAAATCCCGGAGACGAAAGAGAGGCGCGGTGAATCGGGTACCAACGTCGACGTTCCGGTCACCCAGTCGCCTATTTCTCCAGATCCCAAGGACAATAGTCCTGGAACCGGATCGGAAAACAACAACAGCGGTCGGAAAACCGTCGAACCAGAGGACCAAGAGCCGAACCGGATCGGCGAGGACTACAGCGATGGGAAACCGGCCAGAGAGGATTCAGGTAGAGGAAGTTGCGAGAGCGTCGCGAAGGAATCGGCGGCGAACTCGGATAGAGCAGACCCGGGAAGAGAAGGAGATGACTCGCCCGAGTTTGTTGAGTCAATGGACGAGTCGAAGGGAGAAGATGGAGCGAAAGAAACGAGTGACGTGCAGAGCTCGGCGAGTTTGCCGAGAAAGGAGACGGTAGAACAGGACGAACCGGATAGAGAGGATCAATCTCTGACCGTCAATAGAATCCCCGTCGAATCTCGGCCGTTGATTGATTTCATCGAGATTCTTCGGTCTCATCCTATTGGTTCCCACTTTTCGCGCCGGCTCGAATTTCAGGTAAAAAAATTAATATTCCATCATTCCTTTTTTGTGCGCAATTCAAATTCCATGTTTAGGTAAAATGATACTCACAATTAAACAATAATTTAATAGAATATGTACGATTCTATGAAAACTCTCTTTTACAATTAAGTTCTTTAAAATGTCTGTCATTATCTTAGTGCGAAGACTTGTTTGATTCTGAAGCTGCAGGAAACACCTAAGTACGATAAGATAATAAGGCAGCACATAGACTTTGAGATGATTCGAAGTCGTGTCGAAGAGGGTTACTACAAAAGCTCCAGGAGCAAGTTTTTTCGAGATTTACTGCTACTAATCAACAACGCGAGGGTTATCTATGGCGAGCGATCTTCTGAGTTTAGTACCGCAGAGCAGCTTAACCAACTCATCAAGAAAGAGATGATGACTCTCAAGATTCCTAAACAAACCTCATCACTAAAAGAGGAATCTTTGGTGACGTCTAAGGAGGAAGTCACAGTCTCTTCACCACACTCGTCTCTAAGACCAAAAATGTCAATGCCTATTACGGCTTGTCGGAAACGTAGCTCCTTGGCTGTTAAATCTTCAGCGTCAGCCACCGAACCGTTGAAGAAAACTGCTAAAGTAGTTCCAAAAATGGATGAGAAGACAGCTTCAGAGGCGGGAGAGGAAGTTGAGACATCTGATAAAGATGAGGAACCTATTGTTTCGAAGAAGATGGCTACAGGAAGAACAACCTCAACAGCTAAAAAAGTAGGAAGCAGAAACGTTAAGACCAGTTTGAGTGCTGGTCTCCCTAGTAAAGGCCGGTATTCAAACGATAGCTCTGAGCAGAAGAAAGCCGATGGAGAAAAGAAGGGTAACAACACAAATGGTGGCTCAAAAAGGCAAAGTGCTGCTAGCTTTCTTAAGAGAATGAAAGGGGTTTCTTCGTCTGAAACTGTGCCAGAGACAGTGAAGGCTGGTTCCTCTAATGGAAAGAGAGGAGCTGAACAGAGGAGAAGTAACAGTAAGAGTGACAAAGTTGATGCAGGAAAGCCATCTGCTGGTCAGAAACGAGCAAATGGGAAGAAGCAAACAATTGAAAAGGCTAGTCCTGTAAAGAAAAACAGTAGCGCCGCCTCTAAAAAAGGCGTTGCCCTGTCTTCTCCTATAGTAGCAAAGCGGGCAAGCGTAGCTAGTGAAAAGGAAGCTCGCCCAAAGAAGCGTCCAAGGAGGTTATGAATTATTGCAAAGCTTAACTATCTTCTACAGGATCAAGAATGTGCTTATAAGGCAGTTTATTTACAAAAAAAGTATTGGAAATCTTGTTTACAAAGAAGAGTTTGCAAAATATGTGTATAAGAGCCAAAGATCCCAAAGAAGGCTATAAGAGTGTTCCGGTCTTGATTGCTGTCATGCATCTGTCATCTGTACATCCTACTGCATTGGAGATTTTGCTCAGGCCTTACCCTTTCCCTTGTCGAGCTTTTTGATGATAGGAATCCCACTGTCAGTTATTCCAACCTATCAGAGGATTTATTGAGAAATTGTATGAGTGAAAGGTTTAGCATCTCAAGAATAATTGTTGGAGCTTTTGCAAGGTACCTCCGTAATTCGCCTCTTTTCTCGAGCTGTACTGGTTAAGTGCAAGATTGTTTCGCCTGGGTTAAGACAGCGTTTATGTGTTGGGAATCCGGGATGTCCCTCTTGCCACACTAAATCTTCTGCCGGAAACTGCAATGAGTTTGAGATCACACTTCTGTGAAAAGGGAAGAGAAATATAAAACTTGAAGAAGAGAGATATATAACTATATTTTACGTTTCTGATATCAATCCACTTGCACGGGTCAACCAGGTCGTCTTCGGCTATAGCAGTGATCAGGTAGTGCATTTCCTGTAGATTGCAAGCTATATTTCTTAGAATGGCTGAGAGACCTAACCTGATGAACAACAAACAAAGGAGCATGAGGAGGTTTACCCTTTCTGCGTCATACTTTGCGATGAGGTATGCAGTGTAATCGTCTTCACCAGGAATCCTGATATTGATCCATTTGTCAACAAGAGACGCAGGAGAAACTTGGCCCCAGCTTGGGATAGCTGAATATTCAAAAGTAGAAATCGGTTCTGCCTTCTCTTCTTGCATCTTTGCAGGAGGTACATGTAGCTTTTCTTGCTAAAGCAAAACAGAAAAGAAAATCACAATGGAAGTTAAAAAGCCAAATCGTGTTGCCGGCTTTAGGATTTTGGAAAGAAATGATGTTTAAACCTACAAATTTGACAACGTCGTCGTCGTTCAGTTTCAGACGGGGTTTCAATGGATTGCCATCTACAGCAGTAATTTTCTCTTCGTCTGCTGCAGTCATTTTCTCTTCTTCTACAGCAGTAGTTTTCTCTTCTTCTACTTGTGGAGCAGCAACTTTCACTTCTTCGGCAGAGAGGAACTGAACAGAGGAGAAGTAACAGTAAGCAGAAGGATTTGATTCTTCCCTGAAAAGAGAAAAACCAGAGGATTTGAGAAAAAGGTAGAGAAGAAAGGAGAAGATTCACATCTTTGCAGTAAATGGCTTGGATTAAGCAGGATACCTCGATTGTTTGATTTTATCCATAAAAGCGGTATGAGTTGTGTAGGGAATGTTCCATTCTCTCTTCAGTTTGTCGATGATCGTAATCCTTCGCTGAGAAAAACAAAAGACGAGATGAGCACAGCCTCCGAGAAGAAGAAGCGAAACCAATGCATAAAAGCATGAAAGATTAAACCGCTGATTACACTAGACATTGCAGAAGATTCTGCGGTGAATGCCTTGAGAACTTGATAGTAAGCCTTTCTCTGGAGTTCGTCGAGCTTCAATTTCTTGTTCTTGGCGAGGAGATGGTCGTAATCGATGCCGCTCGACATAGTCTCTGCTGCTCGCGTCATTTCTGCAGTATCTCTCTTCTTGAAAGGGAGAACAGTTGATCCTTCTGCAACGGAAACAAGATCACCAGAAAGCCCTCACCGATCAGACGATTCCATCGATGGAAGAGATAAAGAGAGAGAAGGGATAAAGAGGAATCCGAAGCTTTTAAAACCCTAATTGATCGAGACCCATCAGGAAGATTTGAACAGACTTACTGGATGGAGAATCTGGGGATTGATCTTTCTTGTCCGACATTGCAGAGAATGGAGCGAAACAGAGGACTCCGAGAATGGTTTCTTCTTCTGTTCTTGATGAAGTTTGAGAGAAACCGTAGGATCTTCAACAAACGTTTCAGGTGTAGAAGAGAGAAGAGTAACAAGATTTTGGAGTCTATCTACTTGTAAAATCCTAAAGGGTTTAGGAGCGAAATGTCATATATACTTGTTGAAGAAGGTAGGGCTTCATAGATTTTGGGCATTTGATCTTGACTTAATCGGGATTATGTACGGTGACGCATTAGCAGTTTCTTTTGCTGAGGTTATTAAAAACTTAATATTTTTTAAATCCCCTACGTATTATTTGAGAAGTAACATTATTGAAAATAGCTGAGTTGTCAACACTAAAGCCAAACTTAGTGCTTTTAATTGATGATATGTAAATGTGACATGTCAAACTTCTTTAAATAAATGAAATGTTTTGATTGATTGAATTAAAATTATAGAAATTATGGAATTATAAATACACTATAATATATTTATAACACAAAAATTAACAAATTTAAGTTAACAGAAAATAATAATTATTATTATTTCAATTTTTTTACATATATTCATAATTTCATAAATTATAATTCAAAAATTATTCAACAATATATATATATATATGTTATAATTTAATATAAAACAAAAAAATAATATTAAATTATCCAATAGAATACTAAAAATTCTATATATTAATAATACTTGAAGTATGATATATTTTTATTTCGGAAAGTTATTAATTTATAAAATATAGTAATAACTTCTAAAAAAAGTTTTAAATAAACAACTTATTAAATAATAAAATTTTAAATAAAATATAATCATGATAAAAATAATAAAAAATAATTAACTTTTATATAAATTTTTTAAAAAACGTAATCTAAAATAAATTTCTTTTCAAACCAATATTTACAAAATAAATAAAGTATATACTAATTATCATTTTTAATATTAATAGGACCATATATCTTTCTATAACTTTTATCATGTTTTTATTATTGTTTTATAAAATGTACATAAGTTATGTTACCATCTCATCTTCTCATATTTTAAATAAAAACAAAATTTTATATCATATTCATATATAAATCTTTTTCCATTATATATCAAAAATTTGAGATCATAAATAAAATGAAATATAGCTGAACGAAAGAATAAATTAAAATAAGATGAAATAAATATGAATAAGAAATAAAAATAGAAGTATATAAAAATAAATTTCTCTCACTTTGTTTTACAAAGTCACTTTAAAACTTTTTAACACGTAAGAGCCATATTTTGACTTTTTTATAAATATGCGTACATACATAAATATTAATTGTGCATTAGTTGAAGCCACATACGAACTATTTCATGCATGTATTTTGTTAAGCTTGATTACAGTCTAATTTTTATTTTAATTATTATACAATTAATATTTTTAAAAAATATTTATCTATTCTTAGTGTAGTGAAATGGTTGGTATGCCCGCACATGAGTGCCAACCATCTATCCGCTCTTATGAATAAGTAAAAATGGTAAAAAACTATTTCATTTTAATTTGCAAAAAATCAAAAAAAAATATTTACTTAAAATATATTATATATGTATTTACAAATTTATATTATGTAAGACGCAAAAAAAACATATTGTAGATTGTGTAAGGAAAATAAAGCATATTATAGAAATATTCAAAAAATATTATAAGAATTTAATTATTATTTAATATAACTTTTTATTTGTGATTATATATTCTTACAAACATTATAAAAATAAAAAGTTTTAAAATACATATATACAAACATATCAATGTTTAAAAAAACTTATCAATACATAAATATTACAATTAACTATATATATCAAAAAAATTATACTTACACATATGTGCAGGCCAACCATCTAGTAAAATATTAAATTGCAAATAATCTCCAACTTCATTTGCTTATTGGGTTGGTACTGGATTTTGAATACGTAATTCTTATCTGAAGTGTACGAATAACAGCAAATTTCGAGTGTTAATGTGGTTTGGCATAGTTACACCTAACAAAGCTAAAGAAATTCTACTAGTTATCTTTTTTTGTTCGTTTTAACTTCAGTTAATAACGAATATTTTTCATTTTATTTTCTGACGACAACGAACATTTTTTAAAATTTAAAATTGAAACATGTACAAGTACTGAAGATCTCGAATAAAAGTGCATAAGTTTGTCTTTTGTCAGTCTCCCTCATTGTCCTGCACCGAAAACCAAGAGTTTCAACGTTAGATTTTCTGCCAAACTGTTTGAGAGTTTTTGCTGAGAACGTGTCAGTGTGTTGGAAAGTTACCTCATCATTCATCAAGGTGATTTCAAAAGTTTGGCCACATGATGTCTTCAGGCGGAATCTGCAATCAAAATCAGTTTGAAATGAGACTTTGTATAGAGAGAGTGTTTGATTCCATGAAAGAAGATAATAATAACAGTTTTACTTCTCTGATATCCATCCTGCTTAACATCTCATCCCTCTCCATTGCATCCGGATCTACTGCCTCAAACCGATGCATTTCCTGAACACAACGCGTTCTAGATTTCTTACGATATAAACAAAGGCACGACAGAAACAGGAAAGAGGTTTATTTACATTTTCTGCGTCATACTCGGAGATCACGAACTCGTCGAAGTTCTCTTCATCGGGCATTCTCACGAGGACCCATAGTCCAACTAGAGCCTCGGGATTAACACTGCCCCAGAAGCTCTGAGCTTTTTCCTTCTCTCCCTGCGTAAGTAAAACAGAGAGTGAAAGTTAATACTCTGTTGTAAATTCCAAAACCTGTATAGAGCTTTCAGCTTCTCTGCCTTACAGATACATCGTAAGCGATTTTGCCATTCTGCTTCTCCTTCTTATCGGAAGCCAGTGACTTTTTCCTGAAGAAAAAAAAAAAACAGAGGTTAGAGAAAAAAAAGGAGAAAAGGTCGCATCTTTTTGCTGTAGATACCTTAATGTTTGGGCCATTATATCAGCTTTGATCATATACTCAAAACCGATATGAGTTTTGTAGTCAATGTTCCATTCTTTCTTTAGTTCTTTGATGATCGTAATCCTTGGCTGAAAAAAGCACAACACAAAATGAGCAAAACCTCCAAAAAAAAAGAAGTAACTTGGACAAAAAGAAGCTTATTGAATCCATTGTTTGGGCACATAATAAACTAAAAGTTGGCGAAACAATGCATAAAAGCCATCAAAGAGTATTATTACGCTGGAAATTTCAACAGATTCTGTGGCAAAGGCATGGAGAACATGAAAGTAAGCCTTTTTCTGGAGTTCGTCGAGTTTCAGTTTCTTGACATCACCGTGGTTGCTATCGCTCGCCATAGTTTCTGAAATACCTCTCTTCTTGAAAGGGAGAAGAGTTGATTCGTCTGCAACGGAAACAAGATCACCAGAAAGTCGATGGGAGAGAAAAAGAGAGAGAGAGGAAAACAGAGGAATTCGAAACTTCAAAACCCTAATTGATTGAGAGACCCATTATAAAAGTTTTAAACAGACGTACGGGATGGAGAATCTGGGGAATGATCTTTCTTGTTCGACATTGCAGAGAACCAAACGATCAGAGGAATCCGAGAAGGGTGTCTTCTTCGAGATTTTGGATCCTAAAAGGGTTTGCGAGCGAAATGCCGTGAATCTCTGTACTTCTTGTTGAAGGAGGTTGTGCTTGTTTTGATAAACTTTGACTTATTCCGGATTATGTACTGACACGTCAGCAGTTTCTTTGCTCAGGTGATTAAAAAAGGATCACACGGACTAAATTGCAGATAATCTCAACTTCATCTACTAATTATCATTTTTTGTTCATTTTAATTTCAGTTAATTTAACGAACATTTATCCTTTTATTTTCTGATGAACATATTTTAAAATTGAAATACTAATAACATTTGACGAAACACAAAAAAAAAAGAAAGAATATATACTTTTGTTGTTGGGCCAGAAGATTTTCTGAATGTTATTCTAAAAAAAAATGTGAGTCGCGTGAGCAATGTTCCACGGGTATCAGCAGATTCAGCACTGTGTTCATATATTTTTGATTTTCTGTATATATTATATAAACATTCTCCAAAAAATTAATTTTGGGTCTCGAGCATGCTACATGTATAAAGTTATAAACTGCAAAGGTCAACGAAACAATATCTAGGGATGTGGAAGGTTGACTTAGTCTAAACTCTATATCATGTACAATTTTACATTTAGCAATATACTAAATACTTAGCTTTTTTTTATTAAAATCCAAAAAGTGTTAATCAAACGCATAAAGTCTGGTACTTTGTTGTTTGGACAAAAAAAAATAATAACTATGCATGGAATATTGGAAGAAGCAAAAAAAAGTAGCGGAAGAGAAAGTATACATTAGAATTTAGAACTAATGTTTTGTTGAAATATTAAACCACGATAAATCGAGCCTATTTAGATAGATTATACTTCTCCAATCGATTTTTTTTTTTTTGTTCCTCATAGCGTTAAGGCTTGTGAGTTTATGAAAGGCAAGTACGCTATATATAAACAAAATCGCAAGCCAATATATAAAAGATATACTATATTTGTTAAACATATACTACATTAAATATGTAATGGCTTTAATTTTTGTTAAAATGCAGATACTGTATACTCTACATTATATGGGAAAACTGATACTTCTCGGACTCTTTAATTTAGATATTATCGGTAGATACCACGATATAGTCCTCGTAAGTCCAAATTAGGTGAAGGTTTGATCTATGAGTAGTTGACAAGGCACAGTGAATTGTGCTTTAGATTTCTTTTATAACCTAAATTTTATTGTCTTTTAGTCTTTTAGCTATTATTATAACGACCAATATATCTCGATCGAGATATTTATTGTTCTGTATCGTACAGTGAACACCCAAGATTTACGAGATTGATGAAAGTTATAAATTCCACTTGTTAATACAGGTAGTGGTGTTAATTAGCTTTTATATCACCAACTCTGCATTGTATTAGCGGAAGAAACTGAGATTAAGCTCAAAAATTATACATATTTATTATACAAAAAGCCTTAATAAAACATTCTATATCGTAATAGTAATTTTGTTCTCTCGGTAATTTCTCATTTTATGTTTTGTAATTCTTATTGTTCTTGAATCCTCTCGTTCAACTAATTACTTCTAACTTTCTCAATGTTGGGCATTATAAAAGTATTAGGCAAGTTGTACGCGATTTACCAAACACTAATCAGAACTCACACACCTTAACTAGATGTGCCCATATAGATGGACAACACTAATCATTGTTTTTACAGTATCAAATGTTTCACTGACAACCCCAAAAGTTCCAACTTCTTGCACATTACCCCCCAAAACTTTCAAGATACACATTTCACTACCTTATGGTAAATTTATCGATATCAAACTAGCTAAGATTTTACAACATGATTATTTAACTGATAAGACCAAAGTCAAAATCTATGTTTCGCCTCTGACAATTCACAAACCCCTTTCTAACATTTCTTGAAATCTTCGGTAAGATTCCACTTTCTCGAGCAAGAACTTCTCGTGGCAATTAGCGATGAATATATCTGCCAAATGATCGATATCAGCATCAACGTCAACGGCTGCAGCATCTGTGATCTCTTCCACGTCATCGACTTTCTTATGTTCGAGCCACTCGAGGTAGCCAGAGAGCTGAGACTCGTCATCCACTTCACCATTGGTGTCCGAGACGGAAAAAGGGAAAGGTTGAGGGACAGGCACAACATCAGATGAACACCAATTGTAATGCAATCTGAAAGATCCGAAGAAGATCTTGCGTTGATTCTTTGAGGCTTTTGTTGGAAAAAACATGGTGAGTTTTCGTTTCTTGATGTTGTTGTGTTTAGAGATCTCTAGAAAGATTGACTTTGCTCGAGAGAGAGCTCTTAGGAAACGATAGAGAGGATGTGCGAGAAGATTTTGGATTAGAGTTTTGAGTTTCATAGATGAAGAAGAAGAAGAAGATGACGATGATGATGATTTGAGCTGCATGACTTAAAGATTCAAGAGAGAGACTTTTTCTCTCTTTTCTCACACTTATTCTGTGTGTGTTTTCTTTTTCTCTCTATGAATTAAAGTGATCAACACTCGCGGGACTTTATAAAGGATTTTCTTGACTTTTTTGCCACTCGTTTCCTTGTTGTGTGTTTCTGAAACTATGGGGTGTTTTTGTCATTTGGTTTTTCTCTCCGAAAATGATTGTCCTGTCTCTGTGAGTAGTCTTTACTTTTTTGTTTTTTATTTGGGTGAAAAGTCTTAGTTTCTGTTTTAATTATTTCTGTAATACCAATGAAAATTTCCGTAGAATTTTCCACGAAAGTTAAGGTGCGAAGAATTACATTGATAGATTATTTACAATGTTATTTCTTAATTCCTAGCGAGAAAAATGTTGTTATAGACTTATAAGCTAATCTGTAGGTGTGATTTGTGTTACGTTATCGATTAGGATAGACACACAATATAGATTGTGAACCACAATAATATATTTTCCAATTAGCATATATATATATATATATATAATATCGACGACACACACACGTAATCTATATATAGATACAGCAGAGATTGTTCTGCCGTCTTTGTATTAGGTAACATAAAAATTCATATAATTATGGTTTAATTTTCATAAGTTCACAAAAATTATATCTCCTGAGATTGATAGAACGCCAAAGAAACAGACACGATATATATATATTATCTAAGTTTACGAATTTTGTTTTGTGTGTATGTGCAAAATCTCTATTATAAGTTAGAACATGAATCTGTAAAACATAAAGACCAGCTAGTGTCAGTTTCTATGTTTTATAAACCAATAACATCGAAATATTCAAACCGAAACTGAATTAAAAACTTTATTGATTCGTATTCCTTCTTTACAACTCGTAACTACTTTTTATAGTTAATTTTATTCAATTGATTTTCCATAAGTTTACTTTGTTTTAGAAAACAAAAAAAAAATTATGTATATGTGTGGCGCAACACAAGAAGTAGAGTGAGCCACAAACGGGTTTGGCTGGAGACTGAATTTTTCAACTCCCAATTAGGTATCGGGAAGAGTTCAAACTAATTAAAACATTGCGTAAGGTTAAAGAAACCAAACACTTCCTATGTTTTATTTGTCGTTATATTAATATTGTTTTGTAGTCTCAGATTCGCCACTTCATGTTTCACTTCTGTTAATTTGATATAGTTTATTACAAACGCAGACAACTTTCTGAAGAATCTATATTATTTTATAGCGTAAATATATCTTTGTTAAAAGAAAACATTTTCGTTAGTAATATTTTTTTATAGATATCACATACTTAAATCAGTAAATAATAAGGAGTGTGTTTGGTGATTTTAATAAGACCCAAACCCCACCATACAACTTCTCTTAAATCCTTCTTAACTTCAACAATACACTGATTTAGAACAGAACACATAAACAAACATTAAAATTCTCAAAATTCGTCTTCTTCACCATGGAGACGTATATATAATTTAAATTTCATCCAAATTTTGGGGCTAATTACCGTTTCTTTAAGTAATAATTTTGAGGTTGGTTCTTATCTAGTACTATAATTTAACTTCAACAGTAATCAAGTTACAAGTAGTTGAGTACTCTTACGGTTCTATTTTTTATGTACAACATCTATATGTAAGAAAAATTGAAAATGTAAAAGCTATAAAAATTGGAGGCAGAATTCCAAAATGAAAGGACTTACTCGAAAAGGTTGTTTTGTGTATCAGCCAAGAAAAATAAAAATGATTTTTTTTTTTACCATATTAATGGTTGTAGTTAATTGGCACTTAATTATTTATTAATTATTTTTTATTGGCTGGTGTTCATTTGGATCTACGAAGGGATTAAATTTAGGCAATCGGATCAATGCAAATTAGGCCAAAGGTCCTTGTCGTCATGGAATCTTGGACCAGTTGCAGGAATTTTTAGGGGTTCTTGTTGAAGCCAAACAAATCCCGATAAGCACATGTCTTCTACATACATAATCATAAATCGTTAATTACGTATGCATGTAGTGGTTTTATTAACTTCAAGTCAGATTAACCTCGAAGCAAACACATCCTAGTGGTTTTATCGTTTCGTATGGCTAATGGAGTATATGTTGACTATGATTTTTTCGAATAATTATATACAACTTTTCGGCAATATTACGTAAATTTCAAATGTTTTTACTGATATATAAGGACTTTATATACGGAAAAACTAGAAGGCGATTTCTCTATCATTTCAACATATAGTAGCATTATTTGTTTGTGGATAATAAATAAACTAGTTGTCTGATATTCATTTTTCAAATAGCCGCGAACGGCGCTTAAGGCTTAAGCTTCGCTGAAAACCTCAAAGACCGAGGATATATAAAACAAATTAGACTATTTGTTAATAACACAATAAAATAAATCCAATATGGCTCTGGTCTAAAGATATTCTTTTAAGAAATCAGACAGATCTATGGTTAAGTATTTATTTGTAGACCTGGACAAACAAATTAAACAATAAATCAAAGTGGCTGATTTCCGGTTGATCGGCCACCTGAATCCCTGGAGCTCTTGTCTTTCTTGTCTTTCATCTTAATTACATGAAAACACAGACCAAAATATACATGCAGAGCACATCTGCTGTCTATATATATATTATATATGCGTTAAAAATATGATTTATAATCTACTTTAAAAGTTTCTTTTTCT